GGTACTCTATTTTATATTTCATTTCTTTACATTTGAACTGCTATGGAGAGCAAACAACTTCAGCAAGTACAGGGCTTAATTGAATTTCAAGGACAAAAATACAAACATGATTTTTTTTGCCAAAGGACAAAGGAGGACATCTATTATGTTTCAATATATGTCAGCACAGAATAGGAAATGTGTTTTATCATATCAGTACTGAAGTAGGAGCACAATCCGCCATAAGGTTCTCAATATAAGGGACAGCTCACTGAAATGAATGAAACAGAAGCCACACTAAGTTCCTGTGTGGCTTCCATTCAATGAAATGGAGATGATTTCTGGGTGGATTGCAGAGAACCCCAAGGACTCCAAAGAATCATGGTATTAAAATAATATAATGTATTACTGTACTTATGTCTTAGAACAATATAATAAAACACATTCTTAAAAACTTGCTAAAAAAAAAAAAGAATTCATTTAGATCTGATATCTAAAGGCATTTTCACAGTAAGGACCTGGCTGATATATGGCATCTGTATAATGTGAAACAGAGTCAGGCAAATGTTGGGAGACTGAGGGCCACATTTCTATTCTTTTCCATCTCAGGAGCCTTCAGAGGGTGCATGAACATCACCAGTGACATTTTTGGCCAGGATTTTGTCACTCTGAGGGGGCATTTTTTTCCCATAGGAGCAAAATAATGATGTTGGCCGTGTGTGTGTGTGTGTTAAAGATCTACAAAATGAATGCCATCAAAAATTGTTGCCAAACTTCAGCTGTTTTGAGGTGTCACAGCCACGGGGCCAAAAGCTGCACGTCACCTTTCCTACTGGTTTTTTCAAAGTTTTACCACTGTTCAAAGAAAGAGCTTCCTCAGCTTCACAATGGTATTTTCCTTTAATACATACATTTCTATGTGCATTTCCCCACAATATATATGTATTTTTGTACTCATATTTTTAGTTACATTACAAATTTGAGAAAAATTCGGATGCCAGCACATAACTGTATTGCAGTTTACATGTTTCCTGTATTATAAATGTTTGAATTCACATTGGGTAATTGTACTGAAACATAGACTGATTGAATCTCTCCCCCGCTCTCCTTTTTTTTCTGCCTGGCTAAACTTGAAGCAGTATACCACTTGTAAGGAACACATGTTCAACAGATAAGCAACTTATCTCCCAACATGTGAGATTTTTTTTTAGTTACCATCATCTCTTGCAGAAAAGAGCTCATCAATAACATTGATTGCTGCTGCTGTAATCTTCCAATCACCTCATTAATTCAAATGGCCACTTGTGGGTCCCTCTGAAGGATAAGGTTGTGTGTGTGTATTCTTTCTATTGCTAAATTTATGTCCCTGTCAAATCCAGCATCCTGTTGCTTCAAATGAGCAAAATGGTATACTGAAATTGGCATTAAAAATTAACAGGCAGCAAGATTTTCATGCAAAACCTATCGTTTTAACTTAGTTTACTAGCTGCATCTTTCCTCCATAGTGCAAATCCTTTATTTTCACATGGGCCTTATGAATTTGGAAAGTGACTTTGTTCTTAGCTTCATCATCACCTATGAAAGAAGTATACATTTTCCATCGGTTTTCGGTGGAAGACTTTGAAACTGTTCCAAAAGTTATGAATTGAAAGCCTATGCCACGTTAGCCATGATGATATGGATAATTTAACACCAATGAAATTTAGATAGGCTTTGAACTGTACCAGCAAATTTCTTTTATGATTTTGATTATCTTCTTAACTGAAGATCTTCTAAATTCCTCTTAGCACCTACAGTAGATGTCCAACCTAGAGTGACTTATAATTGCGATGACATGTTTGCAAAGGAACTCCACTGCTATATGAAAGCCAAAAAGCTCCAGAAAGATAGGTCATGCAGAGAAAGTAGAACTATGGAGCAGATATAAATAAGAAGTTGTTACAGGGATACATCTATAATTTATGCTTGCAATATGGCTAATTGTTAATCAGAGACAACAGGTTTTGTTGTTTCTTTGTTCTCTGTTATGATGGCCACCTTTCCTCCTACCATCTGCAGACTATAGAAAATGCTGCTTGGAAGAGAGTGACAGAAAGGGGGGGGGGAAGTGGGAGCATATCCAGTGTAACAATTGCTTTGTTTTCTGTGATACAGAAAAACAAGGATATGTAGCAAGAATGAGTTGATAGCAATGGCAGCTTCCTCCTTGCCAGGCTCACACAGTATAAGGCATGGGTTGGAAGGAGATTTCACTTCCAGTTACCTGTAGCAACCGTCAGAGATTATCATAATGGGGTGGCATCTG